CGGACTGTATTGTACTGTACTCGCCTCAATCCCAATGAGACATTTCCCCTTTAAAATACTTTGCCAATGTATAGCGATGGTCGAAAAAACTATCGATATCTCCAACTATCGATAGTGGTATCGATGCATCGACCTATCGTGACAGCCCTAATTATAACCATACCCCTCTACTCCTCATTTAAAATTAACCAATTCACTAACCGGGATAATGTATTCTTCATACTCCTCAATCTCGTAGTCGAGGAGGCTAGGATCGTTTACGGTAAGGGTCACTATCGTTTCACCAGGAACCATGCCGGAAGGAGATAATCGAAATGCCTGTGATGCTGGTGGACCTCCTCCAATATCCACAATCTTCAATTGGAATTGACGATTTTGCATAGTCTAAAAAAAAAAAGCAGGCGTAGTCATGGTAAATGAAGATCCTTTTTTGAAAAAGTCTTTGGATCCCAATACTTGGGAGCACTTACAGCGTCCGCATCTGTCACATTGATGAATGTTTCTTCTCCGCCAGGTGACTTGAAAGAAAGGGGAACCCCATAGGAGATGTCCTCATCCACCTCACTCGTGAAATGATCAAAGTTGAACATCGGGTCGTTGTCGTCGATGTCAGCGACAGATACCACGCAGGTCTGCGATGTGGACTGATCTGTTTCCGTGCCATTTTCGAATAATTCTGTCGCCTGAAACGTATAGCCAACAAAGTAGTAGTCATTGTTAGCCATTCACACAGCAGACTTGAAAAATCTAGAAAGAGGAAAGTGTAAATTGAGATGTATTCCGTGATGATTTCGCCGCGATTAGTGATTAGGACCAATCGGGGTAATGACATGAGGAACTTAAGATAACCAGCCCAGTTACCGTTCTGCCATTCAACTGGCCACTGTACCACTGGAATAATTATATATATTCACGGCATCCTAACCATCCCACCTTGAAATAACTAATTGCTTTGATTGGTATGGCATAGGCTGATATGAAAAGGCCCGGACAAATACTGAAGTTCATGATGGTTCGCGCGTCCGCTTCTCGTGCAGATGGGAGGTAAGTATGAGGTGTAGGATATCAGATGCGGCATTCATGATAACGCCTGGCAACCCTGTCTACGCGACTACGAGTAACCGCTCTCTCCGTCAAGGGACTGTTGAGGAAATGGATATTTTAGCGGAAGATGGGCAGCTTGACCTAGGTGGGAAGGCGGCGCGTGCATAGCAGGTCGTGGTGTCCAGTTGCTATGGATACTACAAGCATGCGGAATGGAAAGAGAAAGTGACAGACCGATCGCAATATCTGCCATTTCCACATAGCGCCTATGGGAATGGCTGATAATTATTCATATATGCCATTGTCAAATGATACTAATTACTAGCATTGCATATTTCGCTATTATGTGTGTTTTCCCCTGCTCCATGATGAGAACATAGTGAGTCTCTCGCTCTCCGCCCACACCGTGATATTGAGAGTGATGAAGGTGGTGTTGGGAGCTTCGGAGTCGATTGTCTTTGCCCTCCTCAGCTTTGCGGTGTCACTACCATCTGTAGGCGGGTCTATCTTGAAGTATCCATCTCCGTTTCCTAGAGGAAGGCATATTTGCATCGAAATGAATTCTCTCATCTGGGAATTTTTAAGTGGAAACTTGAAGTGGAAGCTCACCTCCAGAGATGGAGTAGGAGATAGTGCGCGCGATTTCCGGTGTAATGTCACCGTCACTTGCCGAGAATCGCGCTACCACCTCATCCTAGATGATAGGGATAAGTAAAACATTTTTTACAGTCACTATGCCGTATACAGGGTGTTCCGAAGGTTTAGTGGGTCAGAACCCACTAAAATAAATATGGAGACAAGGTTAATGGAAATATCTGGATTTAGTTACACTCCACATGACCAAGAATATCCTAGGTTGCAACTCCTTTTACATCAGTATTTGATATGAGTTCCATGGACCACGTGGAACTTCGGATTAGCGTCCGACAGCCTTCAACCAATCGACGGATGGCACCAGTCACATTGGTGTTTCACTTCACTTGGAACCCCCGGTATTGACTGACACCAAATTAGGGGTGGGGCTGACGCATAGCACTCTGCTAGATCCTGTGACATGTGTTGAGGTTCGGGCAGTTCCTTGGTAACTGTAATACTTCTTGACATTTACCCTACACTCTTTGATGACGCAGAATGGAAAGCAAATGGTGTGGCAGGGACTGCATCAGCACTGCTTTTTTGTCGGCCTGGGTATATCAACTGGATTTTCCTGTAGCCCATGTATATGAGCAGTATGTTTTCGCATCGGTTGACATAGCATCAAACCACGTTTTGTATAGGTGGGTCAGAAACTTTTGGAACACACTGTATGCTTATCGCTCTGGTATCCTTGCAATATATGGAATTTCGGGGTGTGTAACGAATCTACTCGGAGTGTATCACGTCTTCTACGATGTGAATACTTACTACATGATCATCCTTGCACGACTAATGGAATTGTGATCACTGCATGAGCATATTAATAATCACAATAATAAATTGAGCAAAATCTCTGCTAAATCCTGAAAACTAGCAAAATTCACAGAATCTGCTAATTTTGATCTGGATTCTGATGCAGTAACTCTTCCGGAAATTTACAGATGTATACATTTCTCGCCCTTTACTTCTTTTTAGATCTAATTTATGAATTTAACTAGCTTTCGCTTTGGAATGAGTCTCACTGTAGTCATCAGTGCAGGATCGTAATTTAACAACGTATCATACATCCTGATCCAAGGTTAAATTCCTTTCTGGAAACAATTTGGTATGGGACGTACAAGGGCCTACCAAGAAGTCCTTGAAATGTCCTTCATACGAGCGAACTATGCACAAAAGTTAGGTTTCAGTATGATTATCTTCGATATTATTCCCTAAGCTTGTGATAAACTTCTCCCAACGTTTACGAATCTCTTGGAAAACTGGTTGTATTCCATTTTGGCAATGTTCTTCAACGCGCTGGTCGCTGCTTACTAGAGAAAGTCTGTCACGTCGAAGCGGCAGGATTTCAGAAGGAATTTCATTCTGTGAAAACAGCGTAAGATGTGAAGGTCCGAGGTCCGATGAGCGCGAATGATGTACGAGTAATATTGGTTAGAAATTGGTACGATTGGTTAGAAATTTCGTAACACGGTCATGGTACTGCTTGATTGCCGTCGTTCCCTGCAGACAAGCTTAGAAAGGGCCAGGACCTTTCCTCATTAAGGCTTTTCCATGACCGTCCAGTGAGTTTGTCACTTTCAACGGATTTTTCTTTCAAGATAACGCTTGGTAGCTCACTCGATCATTAGAAGGAATACTCCGTTTCTCAGGCAGAATTTCGTTCTGAAAAACAGCCGACTCAGCGACACATACGCTTTTCAGTCAGCTGCGGCCAACGCGTTGATGTAAGTTGCCAAAAAGAACTACAACCAGTGTTCCAAATGCTTTGTAAACTTTAAAAGAAGTTTATCACAATAACAATTTCGGAGGGAATCATTCTGAAACTTAACTTCCGTGCATAGTTCGCTTGGATGAAGGCCATTCCGAGAATTTTTGATAGATCTACGCACAACACTTTGAATTACCTACATGAGGATCATTATTTTGTGGAAATACCTAATTTATTTAAAAATAAGTTCATTCCTTCAGGAATCAGTAACATAATATGAAACTTAAAACACTAATTTACATTAAGAAAGCCTGATTTTTGTCTGTAGCTGTTTTTTTTTTTCGTTTCAGCGACTGTGATTCATATATTAGCTTATTACGGACTGCTTCCTGCTGCAATAGGGTCATTCCATGTCAAATCAACACAACCATTTACCTCAACCCCTTCGATTTCCATGAAATTTGCTGAACTTGTAGGGGGGATTGAAAAACCATCCCATGGCAGCTTTTTAGTTCTCTACCCCAAGTACTTCCAGAGATGTAGCAATTAGAAAGCAGCAAAAAGTGGTCAATTTTGGGTCAAGTCGTCATCTCTCAAGTGGACATAACTTTCGTTCTAATCAACAAAGAAAGCTGATATTGGGGTCATTTTAAAGGTCTCTTCATGCCCTTTCAGATAATATGCCACTCATGGACCTTCAATGAAAACAAAAATTCACTAGTCAGAGTAACTGACCTTTGGCCTGTAAATACAGAAAGGTGGTAATTTTTACTTCCTTTGAAAAATTACGATGTCAGTTCTTCCTGAAGTAGTGCTCAACATTTTTAAACAGGGACTGCCATGGGAAAAGGATATACAAAGAATAAAGTGATAGGAGTTAAATGAAAATAACCATAGAATTGCTTTAAACAAGAATACTAGTGACAGTTAACTAGCAGCAATTCTCTGCAAAAGCGTAATTCAAACTTAAACTAGACGAAATTGAAGGAAACCCCGTTATTCATGACTGAAGCTTTCCACTTGCAAGATTATTTCGCAGGAAAGTGGCTTGCTTTTCATGTGAAACAGATAAGAAGGCATACGCTTTAGTGGCAACCTTATATTCGTCGTTGGAATGAAATGATGTAGCTTTTGCGTTCCATGAATCGCATGTGATTCTAGAAATATTTTAAACTAGCGAGTTTGTCTGCCCTTCGGGCAAACAAACCCGCTATGGTCGCGCCTTCGGCGCTCCATTACCTTGGATAGTGATTAATGCATTCATTTTTTGGGAAATGGGAAACACGTATTTAAAGTACGTCCAAATTGAAATACGTGACATATGGGGTCGAAAGTCTTCATTTTTATCAAAATCTATGATTATATGCGTGCCTAACTTTAAATATTTTCTTGCGTCCATTTTTGTAAGGGTGGAGAATATATTTTAAAATACTTCCCTCCAATAATCTGCGCTAATGGGACATATTACAAAATCAGGATTTTTCCTGTACTCAGTCATTAAACACCTACTTCTGAGGGAAGTTTATATTTTCTGTCCCTGTTTCGTTGTATAAAAAAAATGCAGGAAAATGGGAATGAAATAAGTGCCGTGATGGGTTTTAACAATTTTTTTTTTCTTTTTGAAATGTAGACTCAATGAACTCCATGCCACCCAGATTCAGCCTTAAACGTTTCCCATTTTTGCTGGCAGAAAAAATGTATATGGAAAAGCGACCCACCCAAAAGCTGTGCTCTGAGGAGATGCACAAAAAAGTTGAATTTTTCCTAAAATCACGTCCGTTATATGGTCATTGGAGACTGGCATTTGAAGCCAACCTCATTACTATCCCTCCAACTCTGTCAAACAATCCTTATCCGTGGCAGGTGACAGAGAAGTTTCTCTCACTTGGAAAACCAAAGCCTGGCCCATGATTGCACAGGTTTAGAAAAAATGTTCAGGCTTTTGTAGTGCAAAACAGGTCTATCTGCTGAATCACCTACTTCTGCTTCGCACCTACATTTTCATGGAAGAGAACCAAGTTAATCCTTCACGAAGTCAGGATGCGCCGAAATCGCAATGGTTTTCCTGAATGCTCCAACTTCGTGGAAGTACAGCCAGGACTTGTACCTTCTAACTTCTGTCTGTGGACGCTCGGAATTTTGCTTTTAATTGCGAATGATTTCATTTTCTGTCAGCCTTGATGATCACCTCTCTGATCCGATTCCGTAATAATTAACTTCCTCTTGAATAATAAGTAACTTCCTCTAGATATTTTGAGCACTTATGCAGAAAGAACTAGATATAGTATGATAATTTTTCAAAGGAAATAAAAATGACCACTTTTTAGTAAATAATGGTCGAAGGTCAGATCCTCTGATCATTCATCAAGGTCCATGAGTGGAATATTATTTGAAAGGACATGAAGAGACCTTTACATTGACATCAATATCAGCTTTCTTTGCTGATTACAACAAAAGATATACCTACTTGAACGATGACGATTTGACCCTAAAATTGGCCACTTTTTTCTTTTCAAATTGCTGAATCTCTGGAAGTACTTCAGGCGGAGAGTTTCAATTTGGCATAGAATGACCTTTCAATTACTGTCACAAGTTCGGCAAATTTCATACTAATCGAAGGAGGTTAGGTCATTTTTTAATTTTTTGTGTTGATTTGACAAAGAAAGCCGCCTATGTATAAATTGCTTATTAAGTCCTGGGAGATTGATACAGGGATATTTCCTGAAAACACCATGTGATATTTGCCTCAGAAGTTGGAATTGGAATTTACATGAATACGCAAATGTTTCAAGTTTATTATTTAGCGTTCATGGCTTGAAATTAAATTGATGCAAAAGACAGATTTATTTATTCAAGATCGAAAAATGCATTCCTTTTTTATCTTTTTTCCTCCGTTTCCATTTCAATTTATCATGCATTAACTATATTCGTTTGCTCTTTATCACAGGACAGGAACCCTGCAATAGTTGACAGTGCACTGTTGTAAAGGAGGAGGAGGTGAAGAAATCATACGGTAGTGTTGCTGCCGTAGTCTTCTTCAATGTTGACGTAGGAATCGAAAAAGAAGAACCGCGGAGGGGTATCTTGGACGTCCACCACCTGGACTGTAATTGTTGCCCTTTCTGAATAAGGACCATTTCCATACTCGTCTTGAAGATCCTATAGGTGAACGAATATACGGAGTATGACAAAAAATGATCAACGATGCTCAACCAACATATATCCGAGCGATGTCGAGCTATTTTCGTGAAACATTCATTTTGCATTTATTAGTACGTTTGCTCCTGATTTCCAAAATGACATTCGATTTTGTAGAGCCGAAGCAATACTATAAGCAAATATAGAAATGAAGATAATCATAGAGAATGGACAAGAGCTTCTGCTGGTAGTGAAATAGAGAAAACACTCGAGCGGTGTCCCTTCTTGTGATCCATATTACGTCGAATTCCTCTTCCTTTTCAATTCATTCAAGGGGTTGATTTTCTTTCGCAAATGGTTTTTTCATTCCCGATTATTCCCAATCAATAGCAGACGAATCAATGAATATCAATTTAGAGTTTTCTCAGCGTTCTTTCAGAATTCGCTTTGCCATCAGCCAGATTCTGCAAGTAATAGAAAGAAAGACAAGCGACTTGGAATGCATCACATGATTGCTCAAGTCATATCTCGTCAAATTTGCTAAGAATATCGCGTCATTTCATTTATTTCAAAGCGAACAAAACTGCGAAATTGACTTCATTCAACACCATTTAATTTTATAAATTTACTTATGACAAGTCCGACCTATCCATGAGCCGCAGAAAAATCAGAATAAACTTTGGGTAAACTTTCTGGATTGACACGCATTTATTCAGCTATTATTCATTTGGAATAACATGAAAATCATCTGCAAGGGACAACCAGCTCTATGAATGTGCTTAAACGGAAGAAGGACTCGACGTATTCTTGATAGCAAAGGACAGCCCTCGATTTTATTCCTCCACTTCCAAGTAAACAAGAACTCCATTGGACATTCATGAGGTTCAACTTCTTTTTGATAATTATTGATTGCATGTTTTGGCTGAACACGTTTCAATGACATTCCATGTATAAATTGGAAACGTACTCCTGAAAGCGAAGGGAAAGTTCCACGAAAATATCTCTGTTGTAAGCCGAGATTTTAAATTTCAAATGCATTCGTCATTTCTGCTATACCCTGTAGATTAGGAGTGTTTCATAAATGTTCACGTAAAGGGTTAGAATCACGAAGGACTTACTTGGACTATGATGGTAAGTCGATGTGATGTCTGAGTTTCAAAGTCCAGTTCGCGAGTAACGTTCAATACGGACACATTCCTGGGGGGGTTACTGCCAGGTTCTTCGAAGGTTCTCAGCTCAAATGGGACACTTGAGTCCTGTTGTTTGTCAAATAGAAAATTCTGGATGTGTAGATTCAAATTGGAAAAAATGAGAAAGGCAACGTCTTCATAGACAACAAAAGGATTTCATTTTGCGTCCCACTGTTTTCCTTTGGCAGAAAACGTAAACCGTCTCTAAATCTGAACCCCGGAAGGAATGTTTCGAGGATTTTCAGATTTAACATGATCGAAGAACTTGAAATAACTGCATACCGGATACAGGGGGAAATAAGGTGGAGATAGATGGATGGCGAGTGAAAGAGTGAAAGAGGACCACATCAAAACATTCGTACTCTCACAGAAGCAAAGATCATTGTCGACAAAAGATGAACTTGAATGTTGTGACTTTAATTGTGGTATTTGTAGACTAACGTTACTGGGAATTAAAAAAATTTTGAATGTTACACAGGGAATTGAATCCTTTTTTCAGAATGAGAAATGATAGCTGTCTTTCACTTTTAAATTTCCGTCTCTTAACCGTCCCAGGTCTTGATGTTGCATAGCAAATTAAACCCGTCCTAGCGATGGCCATTATGGTTTAACTCTGTCTCCTCAGTCGAAAGAAATGCTAATAGATAGCATCTCTATCGAGTGATTAAGCTTTGTTCTCCATGTTGGTAGGGATTCGGTTTCACGGACCTTTTTTTGGAGCAATTCGTTTCCTAAGAATGGGAAGTTTATGCACATTCTTGAAAGAGTGCCTGACACTAAACCTCTCTAATGTCTCCCCTTTTTAGGAAAAATTCCAACTATGTATTGTTTGCGTCAATTATCGACTACCCTTTGAGTAAGTTAGTCTGATGGCAAGTTATCGCTGCGGCTGGCGATGAAATGTTACAGGCATGTGCAAGATTGCCGAGACTTTCCTTATGTGCTGCTCCTACTTGTCTTACTAAATTACGCTATGCACTTCCAGAGCAATACATATCAATACCTTTACAGACAGTCACATTACTTGTCGTTCTAGGGCCCCCTCTTCCACATTGTCTTTACTAAGTGAAGCAGTTGACCGCAGGAGAGACATGTCAGAGTTCATACCTGAGTATAGTTTTTGCAGTATACCCCTCGAAGGCGTTTTAGACAATATCAATGACTTTGGCGCAATATCGAAGCGACATTCTTTTCCTTCGGGTAGTGCCGAATTTTGTATTACTTGAGACATCGGTTTTTGACTCTCTCGCAAACAAACATGGTCCAATTCTTGGGTTAGAGATTATTTTCTTTTGGCATCTACAGAACTCTTGATTCCCTAACGTCATTGTTTGGATGGTTGTCAGCAACATCAAGAAAGTGAAAATTCTTAGTTTCCTCTCAGAAGGTCTCCTTTGAATTTTCCCTTAGTCCAGTAATTTTCATAGCACATCGGTAAGAACAGATTTCATCAAGCGAAATCTGTACAGTGTTTCTCAGTGAGTTTCGAACGACTTAAAGTTTCTAAAGCACTAGCTACAAAATCACCCGCACCTCTCCCAAAATAAATTGCACGAATTGCATAATCTTTCGTACCCCCTGCTCTCCTCCACTCCTTGGGAGGAGAATTTTGCTTCTTAGTCTTTTCATGGCACTGGTGGTAAGTGCAATCCGTGAATCTGGGAGCTTGACATCCTTGCATTCTACAGATTATTGACAGGTCATGCTTTCCTCTCTCCAAGGGTTACCAGATGGAAGTGTCACTTGGAGCGGTACTTGCCCGCTGGGCTGGAGGAGGGAGTATAAAATATTGGGTTGGAAAGAAAGTCTTGGAACACTATCTAAAGCTATTTATGAAAATTTTCAAAGGAATGATGGGCGGGGCTTTGTATTTGTATATGCTGGAATGTTCTTGAAGCTTCTGCCCTCGGGGTATATAAGGCGGCTTCTGCCATCAGTTGGGAGCCATGGCTCCGATCGAACGAGCAACTCTTCGCCTCATCGTCTACTACGAGTTCCTCCAAGGACGCTCTGCGAGAGCCGCCGCGGATAACATCTGCGCTGCATTCAAGGGCAACGTCGTCCACTATTCCACGGTGTCTCGATGGTTCAAACGCTTCGAATCTGGCGACACGACCTTCGGAGATCGACCACGCTCAGGACGTCCATCTAAAGTCGATGACGAACCCCTGCGGAACGCCCTCAACGCGAAGCCGAACGCCACCACTCGCGAATCGGCGACTACACTTGGAGTCACCCATATGGCCATTGGCAACCATCTGAACGACCTCGGCTATCGGAAGGTTTACTCGACATGGGTCCCTCATCGGCTCGGCGACTCTGACAAAGCAAGCCGTGTCAGTGTCTGCGAATCACTGCACCTTCGTCCGCTCAGAAAGGACGTTTTGAAAGAAATCGTTGCTGGAGATGAGAGCTGGGCCCTCTACGTCAACCGTACTCGCAAGAGTCAGTGACTTCCACGAGGGGAATTGCCGCCACACGAACCGAAACCAGGGTTCCAAAAGAAGAAGGTTCTTCTCTGCTGTTGGTGGGATTCAGAAGGAATGTCGTACTATGAGCTCCTGCCAACCGGTACCATCGTGACTGCCGTCGTCTACGCTGCTCAACTTCAGAAGTTGGCTGGCGTCATTCAAAAAGAGCGTCCCAAACGCGACAAAGTTCTCCTNCCAGATTCGAAGCGTTTGAACCATCGAGACACCGTGGAATAGTGGACGACGTTGCCCTTGAATGCAGCGCAGATGTTATCCGCGGCGGCTCTCGCAGAGCGTCCTTGGAGGAACTCGTAGTAGACGATGAGGCGAAGAGTTGCTCGTTCGATCGGAGCCATGGCTCCCAACTGATGGCAGAAGCCGCCTTATATACCCCGAGGGCAGAAGCTTCAAGAACATTCCAGCATATACAAATACAAAGCCCCGCCCATCATTCCTTTGAAAATTTTCATAAATAGCTTTAGATAGTGTTACAAGACATTCTTTCCAACCCAATATTATGCAACGCGTGCGGATTATTTTGAAAAGAGCTAGAAGCATTATGCCTCTAGTGCGTAGTAATATGCATATTTACATACTAAATTTCAGCTTTGAATATTTACCTGCTTCGATCGAGCAACATCATCGTCTTCTTCAAAAGCGAATCTTGAAAATCGTCTCTTTCTAAAAAAGTGCATTGAAGGGATGTCTCAAAATTATTATTTTTTACATGATAGAACTCCTCCTTTACGGAAATGTCCTATAGGAAACCTATAGTTATTACTTATAGGAAAACTATAGACATTCCAATAGTTTTTTTAAGCACGAAAAACCTATAGGGATCCAATAGTATCCCTATAGGGTCATATAAGACTCCTGACCTGTAGGATTCGGGGAGGATTTCTTGGGTTTCGAAACCCTGACATCACGAAGGAAATTACAACCAGGGTCAACATTAGAGCAGTATTTAGGTGTAAATTAATTACCGACTATGGAATTTCTCCTTGGTAAGGGCACGTGCGCTTGTAGTACTGCCTATGTCTGCATATTTATGGCCCAGATCACTATATACAGCATGTCGCTGGAATGCGCAGAAAGCGCATCCACTTGCATGGATAGACGGAAGTATCATTCTTATCTTGACCAAAGGAAGTGGCGGACAGAACCTACGAACACCGTCATTTTCACTGAAACTCCTCTCGGATAAGGTCCACTTTTTCTCGTACGTGGTTTTCAAGAGAAATATGAGCATATTTCTGGCCTTGACTCCATGATTCTATCTGGAAGATGGGGATGACAAATAAGGAAGTGTCGAAGTCTATTGATTGGTATAATGAGGCAAGGCGAGACATATGGGGATGTGCAAAACTCTCCTGTGAGCGATGATTCCATGGGTAAGGGGAGGGCACTTTTGTATACTTTGAGAATGCGAGTACCTCTACCTCCATCTAGTGGCTTAGAGGAGAACTTCAACCCTACAGGTCCTATAGACAACCATATAGATTCTATTGGGAACCCTACGGGTCCTATACGGAACTCTTTGTGTCCTATATGGAACCATATAGGTCCCAAACGGAATCCTACGAGGCCTATAGGGTTACCTGTAGGCCCTATAGGGAACCTATAGGATTCTTATATATTCCTAAATGAATATGCAGGGTGTCCGAAAAGTCTGGAATCATAAGGAAATCACTCACTCCTTCACAGAATGTACTCAACATGACCACCGCCAACTTCCAGACACGTTTGCAAACGGAATACCATGTTAATTTCTATCCGACGGAGCATATCCGGATTGACAGCTGCAAAGGCGTCAGTAATTTGCTGCTGCAGATGGTGCAGCAAGAAAAACTGTATGTTGTGACTTATCTCTGATTCCAGACTTTTCGGATACCCTGAATCGGAATCTCATGGACTTTTCGGAATCCTATAGGATTCCTAAGGCATTTTCATGAGGGCTTACTCCAAGAGTTACTGCTTTTATGCCAGTTCTCATCGTAGTATTCTGCGTATTATCGATTCCGATGCTACGACACACGCCAATGGTACTGTTCTACGATTTGTCGAATTCTGCGACTAGAACATGAGTCCATGGCGTCAAGTGAGAGAAATAATTACAGTAGTCCTTAAACTCCATCCACATCATGCGCCGAAAATTGACATTTTATGACTTCACTCAAGGAAAATGTCGATCTATGTTCAGACAACCTTGGCTCATGAAACTTTCGACAAATTAATTTTTTGGTGTTTCCAATATGATAAGAAAACATCATGAACCTAGATGATCCACAACGCGTTTGATAAAGCGTCAAACAGGACCCGTTTTTTTTATTCTCAGGGAGGCGCGGTATATATGAGGTGTCGTCAGAAAGTCCGCGCTGTTATAAAATAATTCGTAAAAAATACCACTGAATTTCGCTAAGCCACTTATCTCACTTCTCAACATTGTCTTCTTTTCTCTTCAGACAGTTGCCACCGTTTTAATGAGTCTCTAGAGCAGTTGGTAAAGTCATACTTGGGTGCAAATTTGAACAATAGTAGAATACAGAGGCGAGGGCTTGTCTCGAAAGGTTTTTCTCTCTCCGCATCGAATCTGTGAGCTTGCAAAGCAACCAGAAGTCACCCGGAGTGAGATCTGACGAATACGAGGTCTGATTTTAAAAAAAGTTCAAGTACTTTTATTCGTAAAATTTATTTTTTGTTCGCCCGAAGTTTGTTTGAAGTGGTCGCGCCTTTGGCGCTCCCTTACCTTGGATAGTGACTAATTCATTCATTTTTTTGCGAAATGGGAAACACGTATTTAAAGTACGTCCCCATTGAAATGCGTGACATATGGGGTCGAATGTCTTGATTTTTTTCATCAAAATCATTACCTCTATGATTCTGTGTGCCTTACTTGAAATTTTTTCTTGTGTCCCTTTTTGTAAGGGTGGAGAATACATTTTGAAAAAACTCCCTCAAATAATCTACGCTAAGGAGACATATTTCAAAATTATGATTTTTCCTTTACTCAGCCATCAAACAGNGGAGGTACATGCCCTGGGGGTACAAATTTTGGGGGGAAACGTTTTTCATGAATATTTTTTGTGACAGATGAGGAAGGCATTCAGAGAGTTAACTGGATGTGCTGGGTTCTGTGGTGTATTCGTAGCAAACCTGACTGGCAGTCACGATCGTCTATATATATTACTGTAGATAAGTACATTAGAATTAATTGGTTTCCCCTTCAAGGTATTCCCCCCTCGACGACACTTATCTCAACGCTCCTGCAACTTCTGGAAGCAGTGCTGGAAGTCCTGGAGTGTGAGACACTCAAGCTGCCGCGTCGCATTTTCCTTGATGTCTGCAATGTCTTCAAATATTTTTCCTTACAGGTGAAATTTAATCTTGGGAAGAGGAAAAAGTCACAAGGAACCCGGTTCGGTGAATAGGGAAGGTGGGGTAACGCATGAATTTTTTTTTTAGCCAAAAACTCTGGAATTGTGAGAGCAGTGTGGGCAGGGCATTGTCGTGATGCAAAACCGGGCTTCATTTTGGAAAAGTTTTGCCGTTTTCTCCTAATTTTTTCTCGCAAACGGGTAAAAACATATTTGTAGTAAGCCTGGTTAACTGTCTGGCCTTGTGGGACAAACTCATGATGTATCAGAATCATGATCCATGATCGAAAATTCGACGTAGGGCACAGAGACAACAGGATTTCAACACTGGTGATTCGCGACTGGTTAATCCTAGCGCAAAGGAGGTTTCAACATGCGTGTGGTACCCCCCCCCCCCCTCCGACCTACGCTAGGCCAAGCCCCTTACCTAAAGCGGGATGAGCTTTTTAACAATAAAGTAATGAACTTTTTGATCAGACCTCGTAACTATGATGTGGTAAGAGTTTGATGCTCTCTTCGGCAAAAAACTCGCAAAAGCAGGCATTATGCGGTCATACATGGTTCTGGAACAAGATGACATTTCCATTGGCTAGTTATGGGGGAACCGTATCCACTGCTGGCAAAATCTTCCGGCAGGTGTCTGTTATGCTCACCATTTACATTTTCAACATTGGGGACTGCATGAACCAAAAGGAAGTCTTGATTGTCAGAGAAAATGGCTGGCAAAATCCTTTCCTTTGAAACAAATCGTCCAAACTGCTCGGGTGGTGGTGAATCAGAGTGCTGGCAATGTTTTGATTGTTGTTCTCGGGATTGGAAAGAGGGATCCATGTCTCATGTACAGTGATCAGAAGGTCCATGAAATACGTTGGGTATGTCGACTTTCGTGTCACGATGGCAGAAGAAATGTCCAACCGGCTTTGCTTTATTCCCTTAGAGAGCATGCGCGGTACCCAATGGAAACTCACTTGGATCATGTTCATCAGACAGAATCTTCTCAACGGTTCAGAGTGAGAGTCCAAGTCTTCCAGCTGTCATCATCGACGGACAGGCCTAAGTCTGATTTCACCAGACCTTCAACACTTTGGATGGGTCAGTCGGATTTCGCAGTTCTGAGCCCTCAAGAATGGGGCTCAACTTTGGTGGAAATTCTTCCGGCTGCATCTTTCCTCACCCACGAGCAGACGGTGTTATAGGAAAGACTGGAGCTCCTACACACTTACTACGTGGTGAAAGTAGCGCGGTAAGTCATTTGGATTTGTTTCCTGTCGCAGGCCATGTTCCGCAATAATTGCGATAGTTTGTTGTGGTACCGCAGGAAACGCTTAAGGACTCATGCGGTCATTGACTCATTTGTCGGCAGGTTAGATGATAGGGCTTAATCCAGCTGCGAAAAATTTCCAGAACGATACGCATTTGTGTTTCCGGAAGAGCAGTAACGAGTCAGCGTTGTGAACGATGTGGTTTTCATTGCAACAGAGGATTTTTATTATAGTTGGTTGCGTTAAAAACGAATCTCACCAAATTTGCTGTAAAAATTTCGTGGCGAAGTATCCCGATGGGAAAGTGCCAGCAAAAACCTATCATACCGAAGTTATTGGCAAAGTGTCGGGAAACAGGTTCCGTACGGGATGGGACATCAGCTCGCGTTCGAAATTTTGCGGAATGAGGAAACTGGGCATGTCATGCGAACACGAATTGAGGAGAGGCTCTGCCGGTCAGTACGTTGATTGTCTTTAACAGTCTGGGGTTTTTGAAAGGCTTACGGATGACCGTCTACAAAATCACTGGCCAAGTTCCTCCATTCCGCATGAATCTCCTGCGGCACCACAATTATGGCGAAAGACGACCTCCAACAGCAAAAAAGATAGAACGACTTGCCGAGCTACTTTCAAGTGGGACTGACATTATCTGTCAGTGAATGTCCACTGCTCTCTCTCCCCCTCTCTCTCGATGTGCCGCGAGAAACTTAAGCACAGATC